ACCGGCACCCCTGACCTGGGTGCGCACGCCGGGCACACACCCGCAAACGTCCTCCACCGAGCCCCCGCCCGCCGCCGCAGCGCCTTTCTGCACTCCTGAAGCCCCCGACTGCAGAAAGCTTTCAGCTTCAAGTTTTCACTCGGTGTCTCAAATGTGCATGAAGGAATTTAACTGCACCAGTGAATACCAGCATTAGTTTCCATTAATTTTTTTTAAATCCCGGCAACAATAAACTTTGAGAACAAAAGCGCTTTTACGTCCTTAATTAGGCGAGCTTCCCATCTGTGGTCTCGAAGTGTCTGCCTCTTGATTTAACTTTGTCCCCGCCTCCGCTGCACACCCCTCCCTTTCCTGCCAGGCGCTTGGGGTGCCTCTGCCATCCCGCCCCGCGGCGCCTAGAGCTTCGGCCCAGCCGGCTCCTGCGGCCTCTTGGCGGCGGGGATAGCGCGCACCAGGTGGCCGGCCTGCCTGCCTGCTTTCCAGCCCACCCCTTGGACCATTCGGCAGGGCCCTGGCACTCTCGCCTCGGGCAGGCGCCCAGGGCGTGGAGCTGAAAGGGAGCTCGCGAGGCGCCTTCTGTTTACCTTTTATGGTTAAAATAACAGTTTAGCAAAGAAGCGACTTTACGAAGAAGCGATTTAGTGAAATCGTCTCAAGCTGCCGCAGCTCAGCCAGTTTAATCACCCCCAGAGAGCTGAACAACTGCGAGCACAATGGGACACAAAATCATTTTGTGTGTAAATGAGCGTGCCATTCTGCTCTCTCCTTTCTGCTCAGGCGGGCGGGGCTCGGCTGCAGGCGGGCTCGGGACCCGGGTCTTCTGCCGCAGCTCAGAGAAGCGGGTCAATACTGGACCGTTTGCGAACCCGCGGGCCTCTGGCCCCTGCAACAGGCAGCTTGGCAGAGACTTGGGAGGGCCGGTGCGCTCTGGGCTGGGGTTGGGACTGGGTTTGATGCTGTTGGTGGAATGAACTGTTTCTCACTGCGTCCACTTTTATGCTTCTGACCTCCCTCAGCAGTGGTCTCGGGGAAAAGGTCGTTGTCCGGCACAGATACGTTTGTCCGAGGGAGCAGTGGAGATTCGGGTGGAGGCATAACGCCTGGGGCTTCCAATGGTGAGTTTCTGGTTTACCATGAGCGTCAGGTTGTGCTCTGGATGGGAAAGACGCTGCATGTGAACAGCACAGATCAGCTTGGCTGATGGGTGCTTGGCGTTAATGTGGCACTTTTGAGTTGTGTTTTGGTAGTGAGAAACATCTGGCAGCAGGCTTTGATAGAATTTCAGTCAGAATTCCTTCCAGTTCCGCTTACCCTCAGTGTCTTCCTCCCTGACTCCTCCCCAAGCAGAGCCTCCCAGGGCAGGATAATCCATTCCTGAGGTCTGTTTTGGTTTCTCAGAACTTCCTTGAGATGAATGACCTGGTTTTCTTTTTTTTAAGCTTTCCAGAACTCAGGAACAGCAAAAGCAGAGGGGTGGAGCAGCCAGCCCCCAGTGAGGATATAACCCCTACCCCACCTGGAGCTGTTTCTGGTGAGGGCACTTGCCAGGACTCTGAGGGTAGAACAAACCTCAGCAAGGAAGCCTACTTACATTTACAGGGTTTGACGCTTCTTGGACCTTGTTTTAAAATTGTATGTTGAATTTCAAGACACAAATTGAGAAGCCAAAGTTTAGCAGGAGAAAGCAGTCTCTTGGGTCTCCAGGATGTCATTAAGTCATTTGGTTGCTCTCTAAGGGTTATACCTGGAAGAGAGAAGTCCAGGTCAGGTTTGTGGAAGCCAGTGTACACGTGTGTGTGTGTGTGTGTGTGTGTGTGTGTGAAGCTTCCCTCCCTCCCCCTTCAGACAGCCCCAAGTCAGTGGAAGGGGATGCAGAAAACTGCCACTTTCCAGCCTTCCTGCTTGGAGCCTGCAGAATGCCCTGGGGGTGGCTCCTTGGGACTGAAGGGCAGTCTTATTTTAGGTGGCTGTGGCACAGAGGAAAGTAGGGCTGGGGAGGAAGCAGGCAAAAGGTCCATTTGCTGAAGGCTGTCTGGCCAGCTCTCTAATGCCTCCAGGGTGTGTGATCCTGAGGGGGCCTGGAATACGTTAGGCACTGACTACTCAGACTCCTCAGTCCTCTGGCTCTGCCTTCTGCTGGGAAACTGGGAGGTGCAGATAGGCAAACAAAGACAGGCTTTCTCTCCTGTTGAGCATCAGGGGAGAGGTAGCTTCTGAAGTGACTTTCCCTCCTCTGGTGCCTTCCTGAGTCTGGCCACGCCACTCGCCACTCAAAACACAGTGGGGAAAAGTCCTGGCCTCCTTGGCCCATAGAGGGTGGGGGATCTTTTCCTGAGCTGCAGTCTACAGGGTTCTCCGCTGATGCAAGAGGAGACACGCTTGGTAACATGGCTGTAAACCAAAATACCAGGAAAATCAGATTTGTTCTGAAACATTTTGGGGCAATAATGGTGAGCATATGTTTCAGTACTGTCATTAGCCAAATTAGCAGACAGAACTGCCCAGAAAACACATGTGTGAGTGTATGTGTTTGGGTGTGGGTGTGTGTGTGTATGCACACACATGTGCACAAAAAGCGATGTCCAGGAAGTCTGCTTTGGGGTGTGGAGACAGGTCTGGGAGGGCTGCGTGGTGCACGTGTGTTCCCAGAGTGTGGGAAGAAAGGAAAAATCTGAGCATCTTTGACTCCAGGGAAGGCCTGGCAGCCACCACTGCTGAAGAGTAAGTCCTCCGGTTTTGTCGCTGCTTCCCACAGATACTCTGGGCAGAGATGGAAGCCTAGATGCCTCACCGTAAGGAGCGGCCGAGTGGGTCCTCGCTTCACACTTACAGCAGCGCCGGCACCGTGGTGAGCCTGTGGGGTATGGGCTAGGCTGAGTCAGCGCCGTGGCCCCCACCTTGTCCTTTTCTCAGGTGCCTGTTCACGGGCTGCCCTTTCTCCCCAGCACTCAAGAAATGACTGTTGACTGGCTGTATGATTATGTATGTTTTTGAAACAAAAATGCTCTTAATTTGATGTGAAATTTACTACATGTATAAAACCCAACGCCTTAGGTGCTGAGGAAGTCACTAATTTAGAGGTGTCTCGTTACTGAGACAAACTTGCAAAAACCCCTGAATCCCAATTCACAAATTGGTGATTCGTTTGTCAGGGGATATTTCACATCTAACACATAAGCCCACGACCTTTAATTAGAATTTTGCAGTTTGTTTTATGCCCCTGGAGGCTGACACCTTGAAAAATTTTTTTCTTGATTTCTTATTGCTAATAAGCATCTTTCTTTTCCCCCCTGGTACTTTGAAGAAAATGATGCAAATACACTTAATTATAGTGGTGGCCATAATTTGTCAGCTGAATATGTGATCAGGCACAGGCAGAAGTGATCTGATTAGATCTGTGATCACACTCACAATAAAGGGAGTGTACGGCTGTGTTGTTGGAAAACTATTGTGTCTTTGCCTTGTTTCTGTCTCCAGGAGGGAGGAAACATGTCCCGGCTGTCTCTCACCCGGTCGCCTGTGTCTCCCCTGGCTGCCCAGGGGATCCCACTGCCAGCTCAGCTGACCAAGTCCAACGCACCTGTGCACATCGATGTGGGCGGCCACATGTATACCAGCAGCCTGGCCACACTCACCAAGTACCCCGACTCCAGGTAAGGCAAGCTCTCTGAGCGCCAGGCCTGTGGCTCTGCAGAGCAACAGCTGCAGCCTGCTGCAGCAGGGCCTGTCTCCCTCGCCGGCTGCCACACAGGCTTTCTCCATCATACACCAGCCTATGCAGACCCTGGAGCTGAGGCTTTGGGAAGCCGAGTTCGCTTGTTAAAGGCAGCTTTAAAACAGGTCTTGTGAACCATGCTTTGGTGACATTGGTCATGCGAGGTGGAGTGCCAGACCTACTGGCAGAGGCTTAGACTTGTTCAGAGGCAACCCTTCTGAGCCTGGCCAGCAGCTAGCTGGAGAATCTGTCTCGTGAACCTTCAGTTTCCTCTTCAGTAAGTCTCAGCCTGGCCTCTGCAGAGCATTGTTTGTGAGCCAAGGATGCCAAGCACATCTTGGAGCATATGTGTATGTATATGTGTGTGTGTGTGTGTGTGTGTGTGTGTGTGTGTGTGTAAACAATTGCTTCCTGTTGTGAACATGTGTAAGGGGACAGAGGAGGAGCTGCAGTTTGCCCTCTTTGTTTGGGTGGCACTGTCAGACCTGAAGGGCTAGCAGGCGTCCCTCAGAGATAGAAGTTACAGTGACTTTCTAGGTCTTCCAAGGTGTTCGGGAACATTTGAGGCAGTGGCTGAGCATGTGCCTCATACCCTATAGTAGATTAAGTGTCTGTAAATCAGTCCCCTGGAGGGAGCCACCCATGCTGCTGATGCTGGGCTGCCCTAACTCCTGACCGAAGCAGGGTGCTGGGTGCTGCTGACTCCCTTGTTGCCTCTTGGATGTTTTCCTCCTAAGGGTGGACCAGGATTCCCATTGGCACTGCAGCAGGGCTGACGGAGGTTAGCTGGGTCTCTGAGCATCTCCTGGAGCAGCATGCTGTTTGCTAAGCCTGTGACTGCTTGTTCCTGGCACGGCAGAGATGTGGCCACCATTCTCTGGGGCCACTGAGGGCTGGGAGATGAGGGAGCCAGCGCTGCAGGGCATCGCCCTGGTTTTATACATTTAAAATAAGAACTAACTAATCCCCTAGACACCAGGTGATTGTCTCTGGGGAGCTCATGTGTCAGGCTGCCTTGTCAATGGTGTGGTGGCTCAAAGCATGGAAGTTTACAGTGCACAGGGCAGGCTGCTTTCAGAGCTTCTTTAGGGTCAGATAGATCCCTCTGCAAGGACAAATGTGTCCCATCAAACTTCAGTTCAGAATTTGGGGAGTCTTGGGTACCATTGGTGGTTGGGGCTTCACACCCACAGCCTGACAGACTACACATGGTCCCCTTACTGAACTTGAGGCCGGGGAGGGCAGGAACCATGAGACTATGTCACCCTGTGTGCTCACTTGCAGAGCCTTATCTAGGATGGGCGATGGATTCTGCTTATTTAATTTCAGTTTTGCCTTCTGCGGCATTCCTGAGTTGTATGAGATAGATCATCCTTTAATCAGTTGACGATGTTTGTGAGATTTATAAAATCTTTTGCCCACAACCATCTTGGAAGAGTGTTCTCTGAAATGAGACATTTGCCTTTCTGGAGCAATCACAGCCCAGGCCTGGGGGGAGATAAGAGGGCCTCCTGCTTATTTTGTCTCCCGGCCTGAGAGTTGGGAGGGGACCAGTGGACTTCCCCTCCCAGGCCACAGTGTGGTTCATCCTTGCCCAGCTTTGCAGTCGGGAATGTAATCTTGCTGGGGTACTAAGCCCCCCATGGCCCCTTGACCTGTCAAGTGGGACCCTCAGCCAGCAGGATGTACCCAGGAGGATTGGTAGTCAGCATTCTTTCCCAGGGCTGGGCCTCAAGGTGAATCTGTTGTTCTGCCTGGACTGCTTCTGGTTCATTATAGAGCCTAAAGCTCTGGCCTAGTGACCAGGGGCTGTCATGACCTGTGGGACAGTTAGAGGACAGGGGGTCAGGTGGGGTCTGAGAAGCTCATTGCCAGGCTGTGCTAGAAAGGGCCTCTTGGATCTCTCGTTCTTTTAGTGGGTTACTACAGTTTAAAACTATTCTTTAACAACTCTGGAAAAATGGATCAATCCCTCACCCAGAGGGTTTCTGGATGTCATTGTTCCTCACTGATGCCTGTTTTTGGCTCATCCAAGTGGCTTGGGTGCTGAGAGCCTGGTAGCAGTTCCCAGGAGGCGCCATTAGTCCTCACACAGCACAGCTACTTGGGGCTGGGACTGGGGCTCCCCTTTGTCTGGCCTGCTAGACGTCACCTAGCTGCCATCAGCACAGCCCCACACTGACATCCATCCTGGCTGTGGGGAGCAACAGACAGAAATGGCCAGGAGCTTCAGAGCTAATAAAACCTCGCACTGAAACATTCAGGAAATTGGAGCCAGAGCTTTTAAAAAAGAAGATGAAGACAACGTGATGCCTCGCTTTCACACTGGAAGCCAGTGATGGGACTGTGCCCTTTCTGACCCTGAGGGTTCCTGCTGCCAAAATACGAACTCATCCACTTATTCCACAGAGGACGTCTGAGGTTGGCTGTCCTACATCCTATGGCCTCCCCTCAAAAGGTGGCCTGCAGCTATTTCCACAGGACACATGGAGCCACCAACAACCCAGGAGGTCATGGCGGGAGCTTGTTCTTAAGACCTTGCAAGAGGCTGGAGGTTCCTTCATGGTGATTATTCAAACCCTGCCTCAGCCTGCACACATCCTTGGTAGGCGTGGGTTCTAGGGGCATGCAAGGCCTGTGTGCTATGTGGAGATACCCTGCTGTCAGCTGGTCCTGCAACAGATCTTGAATCATGAAAAGATGTAGAACCAGCTAGTTGTGGGTACATCCAAAATCTGTAGACCAGCAGGACACTCTGGAGCCCCAGCCAGCCGTGACATCAGAAGGATTTGGAACTCAGCCAGGCCAAGCACATTGCTTGCTGCACAGAGAGTTTGAAAGCAGCCGGGAAAGGCGGAGAGAATTCCCAAGCGGTCTGAGGCTTCGGATTTGCTGACTCACCTGTGGATGTGGCTCTTACTTCTTCCTGCCAGTGCCAGTGGACCTTCAGCTGCCTGTCAGCCACTGCCCATGGCATTTTGCTTAGTCACATCTGTCTACAGAGATGGTGGGTGGCCCTCACTCTGACAGCTCAATGTCCACATTCTATGAGGCCAGGCCTTGGGTGCTTTGAAAGTTTCGAGAAATCATGGAACCCACAGGGCTTTCCAACAGGGACTGTGTCTTAAGGGACCACTATCATTAAGCCTGGAGGTTGATGGGGCTCAATGGCCTTTGGAGCCCTGAGAGTATCTGGGTGGCCACAGGTTTGTTCCCGACTTGAGTCCTCTACATACTACAGCGCCGGCCCAACCATAAGGCAGCCTTGCCCTTTACCCTGGCCCAATGGCCGAGTCTCCAGAATGAGAACAGGTGACTACATAGCTTCTCTGTGCTGTGCAAATCTTCATGGCTGATTCCTTGAAGTGGGCCAGGCCACTCACTAGAGCATAGTTGTTGTTGTTGGGAAGTCCTAAGAGGGATCTGTCCTCCTGATGTGCCCTGGGTATACAATGACAGCAGTGGGGTAGGATCTCGGGAGAGGCTGGCTTGGAATGGACAGAGGAGTGGGCTGTTGTGGGGACCAGGGAAACATCTCTGGAGGGGTGTGGGCAGGTGCAGGCAGAGTGGGGGCATTTAGTCTCCAGTTTATGCAAGTTGAGCTGGTAGTCCCAGATCAGACCACTTTTGTGGACAAGTTGCTACCTTGGTAGAGTCCAGTTGGGCATGAATATGTGGTCCTGCCCTCAAAGAAGCCCTGAGAAGGTCTGGTAGTGCTATCACTGGGGACTCAGTGCCAACATCCCTCCTCTTCCTGAGCCAAGCTCTTGGCTGTCCCTAACCCTCTTGTGGCTCCTAAGTCAGCCTGGAGTCTGCAGGGCTATTGACCAAGCCAGAATCCGCTGCCCTGGGCTTTGGGAGGTGTAAGCCCTGGCTCTATACCTCCTTCTCCTTGGAATAGGTAGGGATCAGCATCAGGTTGTCCCCAAGAGCTTCCTGCAGGTCCTGCATTTGTTAGAACCACAGTTCTTCTGTGAACAGGGTGCTGGCAACTTTTCCCTTCTAGTCCTAGTCCCTACCAGGTGTGCACGTGCTGTGGCATGGATGTGTGCTTGTGGGAGTGCACGTGCATTACTGTGTGTGTGCTGTGGCACACATGCACACATACTGTCCCTTCCGTCTGCCTCTGTGCCTCCCTGAGTGGCTGTGGGGAATTTGTGACTTTGTATCTCTGGCTGGGTGGCATTGACTGGTGTGTCTTTCCCTGTATGTGTCTGACTGCCTGAGATCTGTGGGTTCCAAGGGAGGGAACCGTGTGACCTATGCCTGTTGCCTGAGCACTGTGTCTGATTGCTTGTTGACATGGGTTGAGTGAGAAGGTTGTGTGTCCTCTGTGACTGTCTTGGTTGATTTACATATGTTCACCAGGTATGTGGCTATTGGCTGGGGTACTGGGTGGTGGTTGCGCATTTTTTGGATGGGTCTGCCTGGTGAGGGTACGTGTGCCAGCTCCGTGACCTGTTGATGTCCCCATGTCTGGCTGTAGTTTTCCAGGCTGGTAACATGTGTCAGCTGGCTGGTGTGTACAGCTGGGTGTGTCACTGTCCCTCTGTGGATTGTATGTGGAGGTGGCATTGCTATGGCTGCCCCATTGTCCTGTATGACAGTGATCTGGCTGCCCCAGTTTCTTGCAGACAGCTCAGACCTGGCACAGTCTTAACATTGCTCAAGTGTGTCCCTTCCAGCAGGGTGGGCACTGAGGAGTAAGGACAGGACACGTGGACCCAGCCCCTTGTTCCTACGTCCCACCTTGTCTCTCTCAGAATAAGCCGCCTCTTCAATGGCACTGAACCCATCGTTCTGGACAGTTTGAAACAGCATTATTTCATTGACCGGGATGGGGAGATTTTCCGCTATGTCCTGAGCTTCCTGCGGACGTCCAAACTGCTGCTTCCGGATGACTTCAAGGTGAGTCCACAGCCAGCAGTCCCCCTGTGCTGCCTGTGCCATGGCATTACACAGGGGACGCTGTGACTCAATAAATGGACCCATGGTTGTCATGGCAACCATAAAAAGTTAAACGATGGAGCCGAGGGCTAAATCAGTTTTTTTTAACTAATTTTGTTTTCTCACATTTTTAGCTTATTTATCAGGGTGTAACAACAATTAAGCTGCAGCATTTACCCCAGTTTAATGTTTGTCGTGTTTAGGGACTGTTGTGTGCTGCACTTATGGAAGTTAGAGGTTCACAATTGCACTCCTTGTTGGGAATTGCAAGGGGGAAAACCGATGATCCAGACATACACCCTTTCAACAGAAGGTCGCCCCCAGGTCTCAGGATGAGCCTCGCTGGGTAGCTGATCTAGTTCCTTCTTCCTGCCTTAGTCTGAGCCCCTCCAAAGACCAGGAATTTTAGGAGGAAGAAAACTCAGGCTTGGGCTACTTACTGGCTCCTGCTAGCAAATGTCTGTCCTTTCTTCTTTGCTTCCTATTTCATTCCTGCAGCTACCCAGAGGACCAGTAGCTCTGGAGCACTTTTTTTTTTTCCTTTACCCAACTCATTTACTGAGTGCCGACTACTGAACTTGAGCTGACCATACGGGGAACACACCTGGGTCCTGCCCCACAATGCTTAAAGTTTGTGGGAAAACAGTTGTTGACCATGACTACAATGGGACCAATCATTCAGAATTTAGTGAGGATTTGAGTGAATGGAGGAACACGGCCAGGAGGACTTCGAAGAAAGGATGTTTTGCTGGGTTGTGAGAGAGTAACAGGCGGACAGGTATATGAGCCTTGGTAAGAAGGTGTAGGTGGCCAAGGGCTTGGTTTATTCCAGCACTGAGAAGGTATCAGACCTGGGGTCTTGTGAACCAGGAGGGGGCAGGCAGGAAGGGAGGCTGCTCTTTGACATCAAGACCTTGGTGAGAGGCTCGGCATTTGGAAATTTACCTTGCGGCAATGGGAGGGCTGGGAGTAGGGTAAGAATGATCAGATTTACCAATAGGAAAGATTGCATTGGTTCCTGTGTAGACAAGGATGCAGGGAGGGCGGGGGTGTGAGCAGGAGGCCAGTTATGGAAGAGGCCACTTCCCCAGTTCCAGTTACATTGTTGCATGCTTTGGACCAGGGTTGAGGCAGAGAAGTTGGAGCGAGGCAGGAACTTATATTTAGGGAGAAGATGTGGGTGTGGGTTGGCAGGGGAAGTGGGTAGTGGAGTTGCTCCCAGCTTTTCCCTTGAGATTTGGGTCAAGTAAGACAGGCTGGTGGCATTTGGTGTCCCACTGCTTCATGGAAGAGCTGGTGGAAAGTCAGCTGGAGGTATCCCTGGCTGTGAGGAAAGATGGGTTGTTTGGTGCAAAGATGTCATATAAAATTCTAGGAGCTGATCAAAGTGGGGAGAGCGAAGGTCAGGACAGGACCCAGAGGAATCTGCACAGTTAGGAGGGCTCCCTGACGGAAGGTAGGCTCAGAAGATGAGGAGGACTTGAGCCTCCCTTGGGGCAGTTCCACAGGAGAGGGACAGCAGATGAAAGGGACTTAAGACATGTGGGGTGGGCCCTAATTTGGGAGCTGGGCTTCCTTGCCTTTCCTCCAGGGTCTCTCAGGCTTGCCAGCCAGCCCTGTGTGTTAAGCCCCAGTAGGTAGCATGAGTCATAGGCCTAGACCACTCAGGACTGGGGCTTATGTGGGTGGCCATGTATTTGACTAGGGGCCAGTATCAGAGCTGAGGGACAATTTTTATGATCCTGACCAGCCCAGGAGTGGGCTGCCTGTCTAGGGTGGCCTCCTGGAGCACCTTGTCATACTCTGTGCTTGGTTGAGTAGGGGCAGGGCCAGGCACTGGGCAGGTCTTGTCCTTCAAACCTCATTCTCCTTTTTTGAGTTGTATGTTTATATCGATTTTATAGAGGAGGAAACTGAGGGTCAGGGAAAGTCAGTGAGTTTCATGGATTTGGAGCCTGGTAGGTGATGCTTGAATTCCAACCTGTGTAGGGCTCTCTAAAGACTTTTTTTTTGACTCAGTCTGGGCTGTAAACTCTGCCAGGTTGAGTAAAGCTGAGTTACCAGTTTGATGTCTTATCTGGGTGGGGTTCTAAGAAGGCAGCAGGTTCAAGCCATACGTACAGCCTCTCACTCCTGCAGTGTAGCTCTCTGGTCTTTCCATAAGCTTCTCTCTGCTCCAGGAGGATGAGGTCACCCAGTGCTTAGGGCCAGATGGAAGGGCACAGGTACACACCTGACAGCAGCTAGATTCTTTGCACACATTCTCCTGAGCCTCATTTGCCCAACCATCCCCGTTAACACTGCCCTGTGGGTCACGGTTCCTACAGAAAGGGGAGATTCCCACCCTCCACCTCCCTCAACCCCATGCACACATGTCTGCAGGACTTCAGCCTGCTGTACGAGGAGGCGCGGTACTACCAGCTGCAGCCCATGGTACGAGAGCTGGAACGCTGGCAGCAGGAACAGGAGCAGCGACGCCGCAGCCGGGCCTGTGACTGCCTGGTGGTGAGAGTCACACCGGACCTGGGGGAGCGCATTGCGCTCAGTGGCGAGAAGGCCCTCATTGAGGAGGTCTTCCCCGAGACCGGGGATGTCATGTGCAACTCCGTCAACGCAGGCTGGAACCAGGACCCCACGCATGTCATCCGCTTCCCTCTCAATGGCTACTGCCGGCTCAACTCTGTGCAGGTGAGGGCTGTGGGCCCTGGTACTGCGCCTCCCTCTCCGAGCAGAGCACACGAGCGAGCAGGAGGGAGGCGCAGTCCCTGAAATGGTGAAGCCCTCTGTGCCATCTTACAGAAAAGGCAACAATGTGTCGATGCATAATTTATGTCCCGCTCATAATTAAATGATGGAGCCTGGGGGATGGACTTAAAAAAATTGATCTGTACTTTTTCTTTTTTCCCAAAAGGATGTTCTATAAAAATGGCCCAGGGTATTTTCAACCAAGTGTGCTTCTTTTGACACCCAGAGTCTGACTTTGGATTCAAATTAAACTCAGGCACCAGGAGAGGTGAGACAGAGGCCTGGAGCCCCTTCCTCACCTTGCTGACCTGGGGGCCACAGGCACCCAATCACAGCCCAGAGCATTTCTGCCTGGCTTTTCCCGGATGAGTCAAAAGGTTCAGAAGCTCAGATGGAATGGTGGTTCATTTTCTAACAGCTCTTCCCACACACAAGGGGAACTTTCATTTTTCCCTTATGCTGGGGATGGAACCCAGGGCCTTTGCACGAAACTACATCCCCAGCACTTTTTATTTTGGCACAAGGTCTCGCTAAGTTGCCCAAGCTGGACTTGAACTTTTCATTGTCTTGCCTCAGCCTCCCAGAGTTCTGGGGTCACAGGCATGCACCACTATGTCCAGGGGCGAATTTATATTTTGGGATTAGGTCAGAATGGACTGTGGAGAAAGATCCCTTATGCACACATCCCATTGGCTACGGGTCCGAACGTGCCAGTTGGAGAACACAGGTGTCAGACACGGTGACCCGACCCCACCTTCACAGAGGCACAAACCCACCAGGACGGGAGGCCTGCGGAGACTGCAAACCCCACCCCCTATTCTCCACCCAGGGCTCCTTTGAACTGCTGAGCCCCCAGGCATCAAGGCATCTGGGACTCACAGCTCCGGGAAGCAGGTGGCTGCCCAGAGGCGGAGGGCAGGGGCTTTCCATTATTGGGACCAGAGACTGATAGGGTGCCTGGAGCCATATGTGTGCTAGTTCTGCCCTAGAGAAGAGAGAAGCAGCCCAAGGGCTCTTTTTGCTTGTCCAAATCCCAAGGCTGTGCACCTTGAGGGCAGCAGGATAATAGCTCAGGTTGGTTAGCACACCCAGGGCCAATAACTGAAGGGGCCCCTGGGTCTGTCTGCACCTGTCTATCCTGCAGCAGGCCTCAGCGTTGGTGAAGCAGGGAGCTTTGTTGGTGAGTTACTGAGATCTTAGCAGGACGAGGTGATTAGCTCTATCTAGGACCCAGCTGCCCACCAGCCAGGCCAGGCAAACTTTGCAGCTGAACCTTGCTGACCCCTCTTTCTTCCTCGGCAGGTCTTGGAAAGGCTCTTCCAGAGGGGTTTCAGTGTGGCTGCATCCTGCGGAGGTGGGGTGGACTCCTCCCAGTTCAGCGAGTACGTGCTTTGCCGGGAGGAGCGGCGACCACAGCCCACCCCTACTGCCGTCCGGATAAAGCAGGAGCCCCTGGACTAGGCCCTGCCTCAGTGCCCACCTAAGGCCCCTTGAGGCCTGGTGTCGCTCCCAGAGACCTGGAAACAGTGCTGGGGAGTCCTGCCTGTGTACTTAGCAGTGGGCTCGAGACAGAGGGTGGGGCTGGAGGGTCCATTGCCATCCCAGGGCACACCAGGCCCCCAGGTGTCATGGCAACAGAAGGTGGCAGGCTGAAGGCCTGCCCACTGAAGAACTGTTGTGACCAGAGATGCCACAGCCAGAACTCCGCTGCCAGCTCTCCCAGTCCCGTGCTCTGTGGTCGGTGCGGAGTCTTCTACTTGCTGAGGCAGAATGAGTGGAGGCATCCCCAGCTATTCCTGAGCAGCTGTTTATCCTTCTCCGCGTGTGGCAGACTCTTGGCGGGTCTCCTTGCATCAGAGATGGCCTATTTTTCTATAGTATTTAAAATGGAAGTAACTGTCACTGCACAAGGCAGCAAGGCCGCCAAGGACCCATGCTTCTTCATCTGGTGCTCAGTTCTCAGTCAGATAATGCAGCAGGCCCATGAGGTGGATGAGCTGTGGGGCCCCCAGGCCCAGGTGCCTGTAGAGCTAGGGCTGGGGGGACGGATGTGGGCAGGATGGTGCTGTAGGAGCTGAGGCAGGGGCCTCGGGCAGGGCTGCTGGGAGGAGGGGTGGAGCGGGGGTCAGATGGCCCACATGACTATCTCAGACCCTCTCCTTTGCTGCCATCCAAGGCTCAGGCTGCGCTCAGCAGGTCACCTGCCCTGCTCATGCCCAGGAGTTTCCAGTCCTGTCTGTGTGCTCGCACCTGGGCTCATCTGTCCCCATCAGGACCAGCCATGGGGGCTGCACCTTACCTCAAGAATGGGCCTCACCATGAAGGGGCCCATCTGTCAGCAGCATCCTCTGGGTCCCCAGCTCAGGGAGCCACCCCAGCTCCAGTTTTCCCACACTAATATGCACACTGAGTTTTAGTTAAACTTGTTATACTAGCCTGGCGGTAAAACCTGGACACAGGCATACCTAGCGCTCTTGACCCTGGATTCCAGGGAGGACTGACCCTGAGGGGATCCTCATAGACCTGCTGCCTCCCAGACAACAGGCTCAAAGACGGATACCTTGGGCCTTGTCAATCTTCCCAAGTGCTGGCCCCTCCTGGATGGGGAAAATGCAGAGGACTGGTGGGTGGGGAACCTGGGCCAGCACCCTGTGTATAATGCCTGTAGACTTGTATATGACTCCTTTAATATTGTAAAGATGCTGATGTACAATTGTGTGTTTGTGCAAACACATTACATTCCTAGTTCATGCCATAAATAATGCTATGAAGCAAAAGACTGAGGCTCTGTCCTATGCAGAAGAAGTAGCAGTTGGATTCCCACATTTGATGTGCAGGGAGGTTTGGGGGTGGAATTTCTGCCTCGGTTCCTTCAGTTCAAAGCCAGGAAGAACCAGCAGCAGTGGCTGGGAGAGGGGCGGGACTAGGGTCCTGAGCTTGGTGTTATTTATTGCATTTGGGTATTTCTTTGTTGCTTCTGCCTGTCCCCTCTGGGCAGCACAGATTCTGAATCCTGATTCACAATCCCTAACCAGATGTGAACAGGAAAAGGCAGACAGGTTTCAGGGGTTTTTGAACCCAGTCTTAACTGTGGGGGATTTTCTTTCTCACCATCTTTTGGTTGCAGGTAATGTTCTCTTTAGAACACACACAATGGTATAAGAAGGTAGCAGGCTGTGGCTTAGGCCAGTCTGGGGGACAAGCCACGTGGCCAACTGAAGATCAGCTGAGCAAACAATCTCTGTGACTTTCTAAGGGAAGGGTGTGTGTCGTGTAAACCCCCAATTTTAATGAGTCTGTATTTCTACTTGAGCGTTTATGTTCTAACCCATGAGGACCCTTTTACATACCTGCTGAGGGCCACCAGCCTCTGCCTGCCTCAGGGCATGAGAGCAATGAGCAGCGGCTTCACCTCAAGGCCACAAAGCAGATGCCAGCCCACTGTACAACCTAATTTGCTGGACAAACTTGCTAGGCTTCTCCACTCAATGCACCTACAGTTGGCACCTCTGCATTTGGCATCAGGCTTACAGCTGAGAGGAGGAGAAAGTGTTGTGTTCATTAGAAAGGAAGTCTTGTGAAAACAGCTCAATGCTGCAAATGTTTATAGATTTTTCTGGCATCATAGCCAGCATGGGTGCTGATGGTTGGAGACTACCATTCTCAAGCCATCTTTTTGTGCTAAAAGAAAGTGGGGGGGGGGTAATTCTACCTAACCAAATGTGACCAATTTCTTTACTTTTAAAGTAAAAGCAAGTAGTACGATTTTACATCGGCTGGGGGATTTCTGAGTTTGTAGGGAAATACTACCCATGATGCTACCATTCCAATATACTTACCCTCCACAGACAATAACTACGAAGTATCTGTTCCTTAAAGCATTTTTGCATTTCCTGGAATGGATATAATCTTTTGAGGACCTACCATCAATATTACTTCAATTCTTCCATCAACCTCAGGACTAATTATTCTTAATTAAGCAACTGGACAGAGAGCTTGGCCAGTGCTGCTTCCATTCCCCACCCAACCTCTTCCAGGGCAGAGAACCGGGTAAAAGCCACAGCCGGCAGATTCTGCCACTGTCCCGATCACATGGGCTCAAAGCCAGGTCACAAGTAATAATATCTTTTTATGAAGTGTGTGTGTGTGTGTGTGTGTGTGTGTGTGTGTGTGTGTGTTTTAAGCTACTATTTGTGTTCCTTAGAATAAATAAAGGATATTTTATGAATTACACACTGCTCTAGTGCTTTGTTTCTAGTCCGTGGAGGCAGCCATGAGAAGGTACTCTGGCTTGCATGACTACCTGGGATTTGGCTTGGCCTTAGAATAGGATCCTGAGTATCCCAAGTCCAAATCCCAGAGCTTCCTGTTCTGAGAGCCCTGGTGAGGGTTGGGTCCTAAGCAGTTTCATGGTCCCCCAACACCCACTGTGCACCCTGTTGTCTGACCCAGAAATGACAGACTCCACATCTCCCAGAGCCCTAATCCTGGACTCCTAGGGTTTAGCTTGCAGTGGACCTGTGACACTGTGCTGGTTTTAGCCATGTGCAAGCCAAGCCTCTAAGACATTTGAGAAGGGGCAGAGAAAGCACACGTGTGAGAACCAGGGAGACAATGTCCATCAAACCCTTAACCAAGAGAAGACTTGCTTTTGGCGGAGGGCAGCAGAACCTGCCCTCCCTCCCTGCCCAAGAGGCAGACTTGTGTTCCCTTGAGAATGCTGCCTGCTAAGATGGCCTCATTCCATCGTGCCCTGACCTTCGCTCTGGCAGCAGAGACAGCTGAATAGTTGTACTGGCCCAGGAAGATACACTGAAACACACAGGATAGATGACAAGATAGAACGTACAAAAAGGGAGCTGCTAGGGGGCTTGCAGTTAAAGATAGAGCTGGAGGGACAGTTACTGGTCAGAGAGAGCAGCTACTGACCTTGAGCCACAGTGTGATGGCCTTCACTTCAGTTGACTTTACAGTGTGTGGGCAAAGGCTGACGCAGCCAGGTAATATTGGTCTTGTCTCTTGTGTGATGAGGGCACAGCTGGGCCTCTTTCTGCTCCCCTCTATCTCTACCCAGAGCAGGTGGCTCCTTGTAGAGAGAAGGCTGGTGGGGGCTTTAACTTGTTCGCTACACTGAAGTATGTGGGTCACTATCTAGGGAAGAAGCCTGCTCTGTTTATTGCCACACATTTTAAAATTATCTACAAATAGATGTCCTTAAAATTAATTGTAAGTGTCGAGGAATGGTTTTAATGTGTACCGTCAAATGTAGCTCCTGCCTCTATTAAGTGTGAGATTTCTCATTAGACCAAACAAGGTTTGTTGTCAGTATCCATGGAAACCTACAAAGGGGTTAAAAAGATAAAGCTCTAATGTCCAACATAAAGCCCAGGACGATTTCCCTGCTGTATTTCAGAACCTCGTCTGGATCTGAGCAAGATGGTCAAGGGCACCAGCTTGAAGGAAACTATCCAGTAATAACTGTATTTAGATAAAACTGTTAAATTCATAGACTGGGCAGAGAGGAAGAGACACATTCCCTGCAGAATACTTTTCTGAGAAGAACTCATTCCTGACAATGGATTCTGGGCAGCCTTGTGTTCTCCAGAGGACTTAACAGGTAACCTTGCAAAGAACAAGACAATGAAAAAGGTGTTAGTGGCAGATAAAGACAGCTTTTTGCCAGGAATAAGGCTAGCAGTAACGTTCTCTCAGAAGCATCACAGTTTTCTAAGGTAACCCGAACGGGACACAGCTCTATTGAGGGCTGAGGGTCTGAAGAAGAGGGTTGAAGGTAGACATAGTGGTGTACACCTGTAATTGAAGCACTATGGGAGGCTGAGGCAGGAGGATCACAAGTTTGAGCCCAGTCTGGGCAAATTAGCAACTTAGCAAGACCCTGTGTCAAAAACAAAACAAAACAAAAAGCCGGGGATGTAGTTCAGTGTAAAAGGCCCTGGGTTCAATCTCCCATACTGAAAGCAGGGAGGGAGGGAAGACTGAGAGATAGAGCGGTGGCGGGGGTGCGGGAGAGAAGGAGAGATCAATCCAGGGATTTGACCTCCTTCTCCATGGACCTCACTGCCATGGCCTCAGTCCTCACCATCAGGACATCGATGGGTCCAGGACCATTTCTCTGAGCTGCCAGTGCCCCAGGGGACCTCACACCACCATCCAAAGGTAATCCTTGGATCTGGTTTGGGAGCACTAGATGGGGACTCCTTTCCCTCAAGCCCCAAAGCGGAGCAAATGGGGTGACTGAGCAAATTGAGCTCCCCAGACCTCAGCGTCACAGGTGGAGTGGGGGAGGGCTCCCTCCGAGGGAAGAGGCTGCT